GGCGGGGTCCGCGCCGCCGGGGGCGGGCGGCTCGGGCTGCGGGGCGGCTGGCGCGCGCGCGCCGCGGGGCGGAGAAGCGGGCCCGGGGGCCGGCGAGCATGGAGGAGAAGTACCTGCCGGAGCTGATGGCGGAGAAGGACTCCCTGGACCCCTCCTTCACGCACGCCCTGCGCTTGGTGAACCGAGGTGAGCGCGCCGGCCGTTAACGGCACCCGCGCAGCCGGCTCCGGGGAGGAGGGAGGAGGCCCGGCGTCTGCACGGGAGTAGAGGCGCATCCGTGGGGACCCCGGTGGACCCAGGGGAAACTTCTGAGCTGAGAACAGCGAGCGCTTAGGAAGCTGTGTCTGGGTCGACCCTGGATGAGCCCACTGGAGAGGGAGAGTGAGGCGCCCCGGGACCTGGAGTGTTCAGGGTGTCTAAGGAACTGTAGAGAACACTGCGGGGAAATGGATGGGTTTGAGCGGGTCGGCTGCGCAGGAGGTGAAGGGAACAGGTGCTTGGGTTGTTTGTGAAGTTTGGGGACCTTGGAAAGGGTTTAGGGTCAGATCCTCCAAGCACGATAGATGGGAGGACCTCAGAGGCCCCGAGGGAGGAGCCCAGCCCCTCTCCCACGGTTTTCTGTGTGTGCCTAGGCGGCCACCGGATGGGCAGTTTGCCGTTCCTGGGGGCGGACACTCATGCCAGCCTGGCAGGCAGGCGGCCCTTGGAGGACTCAGTTTGGGAGAGGAGGCCCGCCAGAGATCCAGTTCTTGCTTGCCCTTTCTCGCTTTGAGACAAGCTGGGCGGGTGACCCTCATTGGTAGCAGGCTTGGGGTTGAGCACATTGCCAAAGGAACCACCCGCCTGTGCCATTTCTCACACTCCTCCAACCAGCGTGGGTGGGAAAGGAACCGGGAAGTGCCAAGGACAGGGACACTGGGGTGGATGGAGGCACGCCTACCCAGGACAGTATTCTCCAGGTTTACTTCTCCTCTCGCTTTCTGAATCATCTGCTGGGATGGAAGGTAAATGAAGCCTGCCTTCTCCGTTATCTATCTGCTACACCCGGGTTTAGCATATATGTTTCCGAGGAAGATGGGCTGGGGACCTCTGGTCTCTCTCTCTCTCTCTCTCTCTCTCTCTCTCTCTCTCTCTCGGAAATGACAGAGACATTATCTGGTCAGATCTGTAACCATTTTATGAATCACTCTGTGTGGTGGTTCCTAGTTAGGGGGTATTGCTGCTCTCAGTGCTGGCCCCGACTCTTATTGTTGTGAGAGAAAGATGAGGCAGACATATTCTATTTGTGTGGAGATACCTATGTTTTAGAACCACGATCTCTGCTACTTGCCTATTGTGGACAGTTGTCAGGAGTAGGCTGTTGTCTTCTGGTGCGGGTGGTGGAGAGACTTACCTTGCCAACGAATTTAAGCTTCTTTGAACTGTTGGACAGAAATGTTTTGCCAGCCGCTCCCGGTGATGGCATGCTTATTTTGATTTCTTAAACACAACAGGCTTGTGAAAAAGTAATGATTCTCCTAAATCAGAGAAAAATAATTTTAGTTCTACTGCCCGGTTCTTCTGAAGAGTTTTGTAGTTAGATTCCTGCAGTTAGGTTTTTACTCCTTACTCTATGATTTACATATGTCTTTTGCTGCCTGCTGGGCTGTCATCTCTGTAAGAAATTTCTTTGTACATTGTGTGAGATCCGTGGATTAGAAACGGTCTGGACTGTGAAACCAAGTACAGTTTTCCCGGCAAAGAGGCCGAATCAGACTTGGGTTGTACTCAATCAGGAAAACCAGTTTTGAAGAGTCATGAGTTATTTTAGAAGTCTGGCTTGTTTTCCCTGCCGTTTTGTCCTAGCCGTGTGCTGTTAAGGTGTTCACAGTTGTGGAGGTTCCCGTGCCTGCTGCTGTTAATAACCTCTCTGTCTCTTGAACCAGTTACCAGGAGCTGTTTTTTTTTTTAGGGCTTGTTTTGGTGTTGAACTTGGTTGCCTTGCCTTTTATCAGGAATGTAATTCCTGTTAGAAGTACACTTCTTAGCGGCGAGGGAAGCCCTGCTGCTAGGATGCTCCTGTTACTGTGAGTTTTTACAAGACTTGAGACGAAGGCCGATATCTAGAACACAGTGCTCTGTCATTTAAAATATTAATTATGGTATGTTACATAACTCCAGCATTAAAAGTGCCTTTTTAAAAAACATCAGGTCTGAAGTCAGCATTTGGGTGACTTTTGTCAAAGTTTCATTTAAAATCTGATAGCCACTCTCTTGCTGGTTATATGAAAGCATTGCTATTCTTATTTTATGATAGTTTTTTCTGTAAGAAAAATCTCTTTTTTTAGAGGTTATGCTGGAATCACCCACAGGGGAATGGTGGGCACTGTGAACCTTTACGGTAGTGTGGCATGTAAGAGCCTTGATGCCTCCAAAGCTCACAGTCCTTCAGGTTTTGCACAGCATTTACAAAGTTTCTCAAAGCACTTGCTATGTTCTTCCAGCCTGCTCTGCCAGCACTGAAAGTCAGTGCTTTCCTGGGAGGGTGTGGGACCCCTGCTGCAGATCAGCCTGTAGGTATTTGGAATTAATGTGAATTCACATCTTCTGTCTTGAAAAGCATTCTTCTTTCTACATGTGACTTCCCCAAAAGATGAAATGAACTCTTCTTGCACATTAATTTAAAACACTGTTGAAATCAATACAGTGAATATGCTATTGTCCCTGGTTAATTTAATGTAAAGGAGGGAATTGTGTCCTTTAGAAAGATTGATGTCGCTGTAAAATACAGTGGTCTCTTTTTGTACTTCTTTGAAGAAAGCAGACCTCCACTGTAGACTTTCGAAGGATTTAATTCGGAGGCCAAGGCACCTGTGAATTAAAGCCCTTCCATGACCAGTATTTACTTTAGTAATCAGCACCGCACGATAATGAGACAGTTTATAAATGAGGCATAGTCATTTCAGAATGCAGTATTCATAAACATTGATCAGCGCCCTGGCTGAGTTACCACTGTTGTTGCAGTCTGTAAGTAAGGACTTGGGCGGATACGCTGTCAGGTCGCTCTCTGCTAGAGCAGGTGGCTTCTGCTTTTTGTCCAGGCCTGTGTTTCATGGTTGGTGCGAGTTACTGAGATGACTTTTCATTCGCAAAGGTAGATGCTTCTCTTTCTTTGCCCCAAATGTTAAATTTCATTTGCCAACAAAAGTAAGGATAGTGCTTAGTTGACATTAAAGATGAAAGAAGTCAGATTTGGTAAGAGATGAAAGCTATTGGGCTTCAGTGTTCGCTCACTGTCCCCTGTAGCCTGTGTGGTGAGCTGCTGTGCTGCTTGCTTGGGAGATTAGTTGGAGATGAGGGGAGTGCTGCGTGCTTTGCGTTATATTTATCAGTAGGAGATACTCCGACTTCTAAAACCCTCAGCAGATGCCTTGGGTTCTGATTTAATCTAGCACGCTGGTCAAGGTTTGCATGACTCCCTGTCGAAGTCTGTCCATGGCATAGCCCCGAGTTTTTAACACTCTCATAATGTATGGGTTGGTGGCTATCCCTGGCCAAGTTATATTTAGTTGGTTACAGGAGGAAGTGAAGTGAACGTTGCAAGTGAGGCAGTCTGTGTGTCCACACTGACACTGATAAGGTCTTTGTTGACATTTCAAAATAAGGGTTTTCACGTTACCTCAGTTTCTTAAATGTTAGGGTTCTTTGCATGACTGAGGTGATGTATGCAGAAAGAGAGCCATTAGCCCATATTTCTTCCTAATGAACGGTGTGGCCCTCGTGTATGTTTTGATTGAATGTGCTCAGGCTTGTGAGGGCTCAACAGTGGTGTTTAGGTGTAGTGCTTGAGCCCTGGAGTGTGAGGAGTCTGCTTCATCCAGGGGAGGCTGCCATTATTATTATTATTATTATTTTTATTGTTTCTCTTCTGGTTGTGAGTGTTTTGGTTTGTTTTTGTAGAAAATGGATGTGGTGACTCGGAGGTCAGCCACTTCTGAGTTTTTCAGCAGTCCTTGTAGAGAGATACAGTGTTCCAGCACATGGACCCGGGGGACCCAGCCTGTGTGCCCAGCTTTTTGTGCTGGGTACTGGAGAAGATGGAGAACTACAAGGCCCTGTGCTCACTGAAGGAGAGAGTGAGTTTCAGGTTTATAAATGTCATCTTCCCCAGGAACTTAGTCCCCAGCTTTTTTTCTGGGAAACTGAGTGATCAGATGGCTCAGATGAGGTCCCAGGTGACGCTCGTATTCCTATTACTCCCGACACCAAAGGATGGAGAGGTCTTCAGGCCAGGTTTTCAGTTGTTCAGTGTGTCTGAAGTGGCACACTTTCAGGATGTAAGAGAAGGCAAAAACTTGGTTGTTGGTTTTGCCATGCCAGACCGTGGAGGTCTGGGAAGTGAAGTGCCTGTGAGACTGTTGGTCAATGCCAGGCGGTGTCTTGGAAAGCCTGGCCTCCTGATGTACAGTTGCTTCATTATCCCCTTGACCACATTAGGTTGAAAGATACATGATATGGTGTCTATTTTTATTCTTCTCCTTCAGATTTCCTGCTTTAATTGTTCCATCTACTTTCCGCTCTCCACTGAAGGGCAGGGCTCTGTTGCTTTCTTCTTGGCTCCAGTGATACCTGATGTTTACCTTTGCTCTGGGATGATGATGCTCCTTAGATCTCATCACATTGCTGTGAGAATGGGAGCCTGTTAGGAGCAGACCAGGTCTCACCTGTCCTTGTGTCTTCAGGAGGTACGCCATCAGGTTTCATGAAACCTTGTGGTTGTGTAATAATTACCATAAGGTGGAAGAGTGAATGTGTGCTGGGCATGCAAAGCCACTGAGAGCTCTGCCCATAACCTCTGTGGAACACCAGGCCTAGGCAGTAAGGATGAAGTCTCTAATGTCAATGCAACACTGAGGAAGGACATCAGTGAGGAAGGAAAGGAAGCACTAAGTGAATGTGGTGTTAAAGCCAGCAGGAGGGCGTGCCAGGATCCCAAGTGTGGCGGAACAGTAGGGGTCTTTGTCAGGAGATAATGAGAAGATGTTCTCAGATCTGCTTAGAATCAGATGTTTATTTACTTTTATTCTTTCCTGAGGAACTCGTTAAGCCACTGCACTCCAGTACAATCAGTTTTTCTTCTGAAATCCATAATGGAATGATTTTTTTTTTTTTTTTTTTTTTTTAAATAGAGTCAAACTTGAATCCTG